TCCCAACAGATGGCCTACAGTAATAATGCTTTGCTGATCTGGTTATAACAAATTCTATTAAATCAAAAATCCTGTACAACAGATGCCTTCTCCAATTTCAGTATAAGTCAATCTCTTTAACCAAAACACTGTGCTTTGGTTCTTATTTGTGCACTAAAATCTAGTTATACCAATTAAGATGGTCAAAATTTTTGACAGTTGTTAAAAATGACACTGTGGTGTTTTCTGAGTTTTGGAGAGGAGGAGGTAGAGTAACTCTCGCTAAAACTGAAAGGCTAACTGTTCAAAATGGAAAACAAAAATTCACAGTTAAAGGAAGGCTGAGGAGAGGTAAAAGTGCACTTTAGTTGGTTGAGTCAAGCCAAAGTTTCTGAATAGTGGCAATGTGGAAAGCTAAGGGACTAACAAAGCCAACAGTGAGGAGCAGTGAAAATAATGTAATTTCTGAGTTGAGAGGCTATCAGCAGGAACAAAAAACAAATTCTACCTGAATGTCTAAATAACATGTATCTTTGTATACTGTGGTACGAGGTCCATATTTAAATGTGGATGCAATGTCAAGTTAACTTTGCTGCTTAACTGCTTCCCCAACTATATTCAAATCCAGTCTTCATATTCTGGTCACGCCCTTACTTGATATATTACCCTCTATTAATTAGTAACACAGAAAACAGAACATTGCAGTCACTAAGAGCTACTGAGTTCTGAAAATAGACTGCAGGGTTCAAATCCTGGCTCTTTCATTGCTAGCCATGTACCCTTAGAGGCAAGCTACCTAACTGCTCAGTGCTCATTCCTTCATCTGCACAACTTTGGTAATAATAAAATCTATCACCTAGGTTGATGTGAGAATTATATACTAATAAATATACTTAGATCAGTTTTGGGCCCATAGTAAGGTCTCAGAAAGCTATTATTACTATCACTATCTTCACACTAATCCTCATTAAAGTTCTTAAAGGGAAAATATGAAGGGACCTATCTAAAACACAAACAAGTAATACTTTAAGTCTTGAGTATTAACCAGTTTGGGGGTAGGCACTTAGACTAGTATTCAGGACACTTGTCTGCTGAGATGCCTGCTTCCCATATCACTGGGTTCAATTCCTAACTCTAGCCTCCTGCTGATAAAGACCTGGGAGGTGGCAATGATTGCTCAAGTTACGGGATTCCTGCCACTGCTGTAGGACATCTGGATGGTTTTCCCAGATGCAGCTTCACCCCAGTACTGGCCAACACAGGCATCTGGGGAGTGAATCAGTGGATGGGAGCTCACACATTCTCTTTGTGCTCACTCTGTTTCTGTCTCTGACCCTCAAACTTAATGATTCTCCAAGTAAATAGATTTCTCAATTCTAAGACTCCAGGAATTTACATGGGGATCCTTTAAAATTAGGAAAGCAGCATACAGTAGTAGAAATAGCACAGACATGGATTAGGAAGATTTTGCTCCAAGTTAACTGTGGACAAGTTACCTAAACCAAACTTCAAAGTGTTTATCTTAAGGAGATTTCTGCCTGTATCACGGGTTGTTGTGAGATCAAATGAGATAACGTAAGAAAAAACATGCATAAACTATTAAAGCACTATATGAATGGTCAAGGGCCATGCTTACTCATCTTTACATCACAGTACCTATCAAAATACATGGCAGAGGTTATAAGCTAAAAGAAAAGCCAGGGAGGGATTGGCAGGGGAAGGATCAGATGAAGATGGGGAAGGGTTTAAAAAAGTAAGAAATCCAACTGTCCATCAAATGATAAATCATTTTTAAAATGTAGTATATATAGTGGAATATTACTCAGCAACAGAAAGGAATGAAATCTTGATGCACTCTACAACATGGATAACCCTTGAAAGGTAAGATAAATTAAAGAAGCCAGACATAAAGACCTTTAGGTATGATTCCACTGATAGGAAATATCCAGAACTGGCACATCTACAGAAATGCTAAGTATTCTAGTGTTGCCTAGGACTGAGGAGAAGAGGAATTGGGGAGCAGCTGCTATTTGGTACTGGGTTTCATTTAGAAATGATGTTCTAAAAATTATTGCGATTATACAATTTTGTGAATACAACTAAAAACCACTGAACTGTATGTTTCAAATGAGCAAACTGCATAGTATGCAAACTGTTATCAAAACATTTTTTAAAATAAGAAAAGTTTAAGGAGAGAACTGTTAAAAGTATGAAACCACTGACTTTAGAACGCATTTCTTTTTAAATGGTGAGTTTTTTGATGTTTGGGTAGCTCTGACATGTGAGCAAGAATGAGAATGGAGGAGCCAGCTTTGTGACATAGTAGGTTAAGCCTCCACCTTCAGCACTGGCATCCCAATGGGTATCTGTTCCAGTCCCAGCTGCTCCACTTCTGATCCAGCTCCCTGCTAATGGTCTGAGAAAGCAGTGGAAGATGGCTCAACTGCTTGGGCCCCTGCACCCATGTGGAAGACCTGGAAGAAGCTCCTGGCTCCTGGCATCAGACTGACCCAGCTATGTAGGGAGTCAATCAGCAGATAGAAGATCTCTCCCTGTCTCTGTCTGTAACTCTGCCTCTCAAATAAATCAATAAATCTTTTTTAAAAATTAGAATGGAAAAACTGCATTAGGAGAAAATACCAAGAATTACAAAATCAGCCCATAATATCACTATAAATGCTGTGAAAACAAACAGCATTTGTTCATATTTTCCAAAATTCTAAGACTATAAACTACCTCTTTCTGGTCTAGTTCATCAGTCTTTTCATCATGATCCCTGTTCTCTGAACTTGAAGACTCCATTTGATATTGTCAACAACCATACCTTGTAGAAAATCTTCCTATCTCTGGATTCTGGGCACTAACGTACTTTCTGGTGCTTCTCAAAATGCTTTCTTTGCTTATTATCCTACTATGTGACCCAAAGTTCCAAACCTCAAAACTCTTTCCCCATTATACAACTTCCCTCCCAAGACACATCAACTCACATGGGCTTTACCACTATGCCCCTGCCAGTGCAAAATCTACATTTCACCCTTCTTAGTATTTGCTGTATATGACAATGACTTAATGCATAAGGTTAAGTAACTTGCCCCAAAGTCCCTTCATGATTATTAGACTTCATTACTTTTATTATGAAGACTCAATGAGTTAAAAAACATGTAAAGACCTTAGAATGATGCCTTACATATAGTAAGTACTCAATAAATGTTAGCTATTTATTTCCACAATTACTACTGTGTGTCAGATCCTTATTATCCTATTCCTGAAATTCTCCAAGTACATTCTAGTCAGTCTCCCCTCCCAACATACTCAGCTAACACGAAAACTTAAATTCTCACTCTTTAGGCTACTGTGGTACTCTACCAAACTAAATTCTCTACCCAGAAAGATCCACCACCAACACCCTCTAACCAATCCTAAACTCATTTATGATTATTCTCCAATACAGATTTTCTGTGACAGTCAAGCTTCTTGAAGTCTGTTCTAAGCTGCCACATTCTCTGCCTTTGCACGTGCCCCTTCATTCTCCTGAAACACACCTCTTCCCCTTTGGAAAGTTCTGTCTTTTTCAACCGTCACTTACATCCCTGAGCCTGGTGGCATGGTTATCCCAACCAAAAGTGTTATGTTATTTGGTAATCATGAATAACATAAATGTTGCTTCTCCAAATGAACAAATAACGCCTGTTCTTTCAACGAAATTGAAGGTGAGACCCTTATTTTATTCCTTGTGTCTCTTCACACAAACTACTTCACACATGGATAGCACAGTATTTTGCAGAAGTACACAAATGCTGACTTACTAAAAAAAAAAAAAGCCTCAGAATGTATCAGAACATTCTCTATTTTCCACTGCCCCACCCATTCTCAGCATTATGCAAGCATATAAAATCTGTATTTGAGTATTTTTACTCTACATGAAAAGAAAAAACACTATATTAATGCCTACAGTGGATAAAAGGAAGAGAACATCAAAAATACAACGAAAGAGAAAGAACAATGTGAAACATAAATCAAATGAGAATGCTGGCCATTCTGGTATCTTAAAAATGACTTCAAAACAGTAAGATTTTTTTGCTTCACCCAAGTGAATGAAAAACACCTAACAAAGGCATGAGAAACTCCCCAGTGTCTTCAGCAGCACAAAACCAAGAACGAGATTCACCGCAATTTCAAGACACTAAACTGAGGGAAAAGATAAATCCCCAGATACATCTAACAACCTAAAAAATTCAATCACATCTACATACAACCTAACAGAAACAAGGAGAGGAGCTGCTGTTTTCCCAAAAATATTTGCTAAGGTCTAGAAGAAATAAAAAGCTTCTCTCCTTGCTTCTGTGGCCTGTTCCTCGGGAAGAGAGCAAAACACGGGAAGATGGAAACAACCTGGAAACCTTAACCTGGAAGAGACATTAAGGAAAGAAAAAAACTGCCCAAAACCGGTTACAGAGAAAACAGTGCATTGGTACTCAACAGAAACGGAGGGAAAGTAAAATCAAAGAGCTTCCAAGAAAGAAATAACTGCATGAAACTATACGGTGCTGCCTTGCAAGAGAGTTATGAATATCCCTAAAGCAGACAGGCGTTTTCACTGGGAAACAAAATAGAAGGAAAAAATAAAAACAAAGTCGACGTTAGGAGAAGACAAAAAAGGTATCCTCAATTTCTACCTCCCTGGCTCTAACCCAGGGAGTTAGAACGCAACTCGGAACAGCACAGACACGCACAACGCACTGGGACAGCACAGAAAAGCCTTCGCCAACCATGCACACCAAAAGCAGAAAAGAAAAACTATACAGCCCGGCGCATCCGTGGCCAGCGTTTATTCTGACTGTAGCAGAAAAAAGAACCCGAGGGCTAACGGGAGAGGAGAAAAGATGTCAGTGAAACTCAGCCCTGGTGTGTCCCCTTCTGGTCTCAGTTTCCAGCGCCCAACTCTCGATCCGTCCACGAAACCCAGAGCCGGCATCAGCACAGCGAACTGACCCTCACACCTTCCACGCCACCGAGAGGAAATGGCAGAGGAAAAACCATCCCGCGAACCTCCCTCCTCACCAGCTGCAAAAATGGAGGGGGAGGTGGGGGACACCCTACCACGTGGGCAGGATGCAACACACACAGGACAGCAACACGTCCGCATGGAACGGCTGCCTTTGCCCTCACGCCAGCAAAGGACACCGCGACAGGATGGGCAGGAGCGCAGGCCCCCGCACGGGCCTCCGCACCCCGCGGGGCACCGCCAGGCGCGAGGGGCTGCCCCGCCTTCGCGGCCGAGAAGCGCCCCCAAGCTTCAAGGGAAGAAGCCGCACCGCTGCCCGGGGTTCGAGGGCTGGCCGAGGCCAGGGTGCAGCTTCCAGGCGAAAGGGGACGCTCGCTGTCCCCGGCCCCGGCGCCCACGGGGATCCACGTCTGGTCCCCCTCCCCCGGGGCCCCAGCTGGGGGAGGGGCGGGAGGCGCGGAGCTGCCGCTTCCCGGCTGAGGGGCAGCAGCAGCTGAGGAGCAGCGCCGCGGGGGAGGGAGGGATCAGCCCTCGCCGCCCGCCAGGCCCCGGCCCAGGCCCCGGCCCCCCGCGCCGCCCGCCGCCCACCTCACGGCGCGGCCGCGAGCGAAAGCAGGGAGAGGACGTCTCTCCGAGGGCAGCCCCTGCCTCCGTCCCGGGAGATGCCCCAGCCCCGCCTCCTCGCCCCGTTGCCCCGGCACGGCCGCCTCGGCGGCGGGCACTCACCTCAGGCTGCGCAGGCCGGGACGGCCCGGCCGAGCCCCCGGCCGCTAAGTGCGTCTCCGCCCCCCCGGGAAAGGTCCCAACGGCGCCTGGTGCGAGCGGCCGAGGCCCCGAGCAGCGCCGAGAGTGGCGGCAGCAGCGGGAGCAGCCAACATCCGGGGCCGCGCACCCGGAACTACTTCCCGACCCGCTCCCTCTCCCGCCCCCGCCGCCGCCGCCGCGGCCGCCGCCGCCGTCACGGTCGCCCCCGCCTCCCGCGACGTCGCTGCGCCACCGGCCGGGCGTCGGCGGCGTCACGACTGGTACGCGTCGCCGCCGCTTCGACTTGCGCGGGATTCCTCCGCTGGGACAAGTAGTGCCTCGGGGCTCCACGCAGCCAGCGTCCACTAGCGGCCGGCAGTGCCGATCGATTTGGGGTCGCTTCGCCTCTCTCAGTGACGTTTTGGAGGGAGGGCCGCGGAGGCTGCCCGGGAATCGAGGACCCTGCCTCCGGGTGCCAGGGGTCCCGGGCTCCCGGGGAATGGCGCCGCGTGACCTCCCGCTGTCCCGCCGACCTCCACACCACCTTAGCCTCTCCGGGAAACCGGACCCCTTTCCGACTTTGCACACCGCGGATTCTGCGGTCGCCAACAAAGGCGCCTTGGGGCTTCAGGACACCCTTTCAGAACTCCACGAGGCCGGGGTTCTAGACCCATCATTGCCGAGCCGGGTCTGCCTTTGCTTCTCGAAACAAAGGCGTTGGAGCTGGGGAAAGGACCTCTGGTTCTCAGGCTGGGCGCGCAGGTTCTGAGCCTGCTGTCAACAGGTGGAGGGCTTAGAAGGGCGATTCAGACGACTGGTGGGCTTTGGAATTTACTGCTGCGTCCGTCTTCTTCACTCGTTCTTTCTCTAAACAACTAGCGATGATAATATGCCCAGTAATTTCACACTTTATTGCATCACTGTCTTTTATTTGCCAGCGCCTCCTTGGCGTTAGCCTTGTATTCCCCTACCTACAGCACCAAGCACGTTTTTGAACTCAGTGGGAGCTCAATATTCGAATACTCAGATATTTGTTAGATGAGTACTAGGTTGGTTGGAAAAGGGAAGGCCTATATGAATTGGCCTGGGGACTTTTTTAATTATTATTTGCCTCGAAGGCATCAGATAAAGACCTCCAGTAGTTAAAGACCTGCGCACCCCATTCCTTCTACAAATATTGAACACCTACGATTGACCAAGCATTTCCAGGCACCAGGAATTCAGAGTAGTCACTCCTTTTCTAGATAGGACTAGCAAGATTCATTCACTCATTCATCCTCCAATAATTGCTAATCACTACTAAGGTTGCCAGACCCTACTTTAGTGCTCTAGAGGTGTGTGTGAACAGAGGAGAGGGAGGCACCAATACCCTTCCCTCTCAGGGTGTCACCCAGTATGAGAAAGATAATAAACATAATAAAACTATGTGGTATGTTAGAAGGTGCTGAGTGATGTGGGAAAATAGACCAGGATAAGGGGTATGAAGAAAACGGGGAAGAGGGGTTCTGCTTTTAAAGAGACCTGTCAGGGTGAACCCTGTTCGTAGGCAACTTGAATCAGAGCCTTGAAAGAGGAAAGGGAGTGTGATCCTTGGGAATTTGGGGAAAGGGTGTCCCGAACAGAGGGAACAGCCAGTGGAAAAGCCTTTAGGCAAAAACATTCCTGGAAGTGTTGGAAATAGTGAGGAGGCCAGGACAGGGGGAGCAGAGTGAGAGAATGGGGAAATCAGCCTTGTAGATTGCTGTGAGCACTTGGCTGAAACAGAACCACTACAGGGCTTTAGGGCGTGACTTGTACATTCAAAAAGTTCCTACTAAGAGGAGACAGTGAGAGGAAGCCAAACGCTCCATTCCAGTGCAGGGTGATGGTTTGGACAAGGGCAGCAGTGAGTAGGACACTTTAAATACAGTCTCCATACTTTAGGAACTCATAATAGGAAGCAAGTAGCTTAGACAATTAACAATACACTGTGATGAGGCACAGAGATCCTGAAGGAGAGGCCATCCTTGCCAGCTGTCCTGAGAGCAGAAGTTCCCAAAACACCATTGCCAAGGGAATGGGAAGTTCCTGATTTATTACTGGGCCATGGGGCATATCCTTGATAGCATGGCTAATGCTGGCAGCCTTCCCAGCCTTTCAGGTCTCAAAGTCCACCATCATCTAAGTGAGGCTATATGGAGAAGGTGCTAAGTAAGGAACAGTCTGGGTCAGGCAGAGGAGTGCCTGGGTTCAAGTCCCTGCTGCACTTCTGATTCCAGCTTCCTGCTGACGCATGCCCTGAGAGACAGCAGGTGATGGCTCAAGTACTTGGGTCCCTGCCACCCACTTGGGAACCTAGGTTGAGTCCCTGGCTCCTGACTCTGGCCTGGCCTAGTCCTAGCTATTTATAGAAGGCATTTGGGGAATGAACCAGTAAATGAAAGATTTCATTCTCTCTCTCTTTCTCTCTCTCTTTCTATGTATCTCCCCCTGTCTTCCTGCCTTTCAAATAAAAGTTAAAATAATTTTTAGAAGTATGTTTATAGAAAAGAAAAATTGGAGAAGCATTCCTCACATTAAAAAAAGTATGTACATAAATTGTACAAAATTATTTATGTACATAAAAATATGTATATAATAATTATACCATTAAGGAGAGATTTTGGGACCTTGTGAGGAGAAAAGCTTAAAGCTAAATTGGGAGAGAAGACCTGGGTTCAAGTCTAATATTCTGTAACTCCCTGTATGCATAGATCATGTTATTGAGTTTATCTTAGTCTATGTTTCCATACCTGTAAAAAGGAAGCAGTCATCATAGCTGCCTGGCAAGAGATTACCTACAGGCTTCTGAAAATCAAAGCCCGGAAGACAGTAGGAAGGCCCACATCAGCTCCTAGGAGAGTTGTTCACTGTCCCAGGAGTAGCTGGGAGGGAAGGCAGCAGAGCCCTGGAAGAGGAGATAGCATTTAATTCTGGGGACACATCCTTAACAGATGTGGATTGCTGAGAGCAATGAGGTAGAGGTTTTATTCTTTTGGGTTGTTTGTGATCTTTCCCCAGATTCATCTGCATTATAAATTCCCTAAAAGAGGGGCCGGCACTGTGGCTTAGCAGGTAAAGCCTCCACCTGCAGTGCCTGCATCCCATATGAGCACCAGTTTGAGTCCTGGCTGCCCCACTTCCCATCCAGCTCTGTGGTATGGCCTGGGAAAGCAGTTGGAAAATGGCCCAGGTCCTTGGGCCCCTGCACCCATGTGGGAGACCTGGAAGAAGCTCCTGGCTCCTGGCTTCAGATCAGCCCAGCTCCATCTGTTGAGGCCGTTTGGGGAATGAACCAGCAGATGAAAGACCTTTCTCTCTCTCTCTCTGCCTCTGCCTCTCTGTAACTCTGCCTTTCAAAAAATAAATAAATATCTAAAAGAGAGAGAGAGAGAGAGGAGCGAGCCCTTCCTTTCATTCCCAACCCTGGAAGAATCTTCTAGAATCCCTGAGTCTCTTTATATAATAATTGGTATTGCGTTAGGTGAGAAACAACAAGCACCACAAAGGCTACATATAGGCTATGGGAAGCTATCAGCACCACTAACTGCTATTTAATGACAACACTTGAGTGTTGTCACTGTGTGTACTTAAACAGCATACAATAGTCACTTAATAAGCACCAACTCTATATCAGCCATTGTGCTGAATACCAAGCAGTCAAAGAGAACAAATAAATAAATAAATAAATAGAAGCAGACATAAAAATTAATCCCAATGCTAGTTGGTAGAGATTTATGCATGTGCCATGGAAACAGAAGAAGCTAGACTTAACTATCAGATTGGAATGGAGTTGGGGGCACAGCCATGAGGGCCAAAGAAAGTGTTACCCTTGGCCAGCGCCGCGGCTCACTAGGCTAATCCTCCGCCTTGCGCAGGATTCTGTCCCGGTTGCCCCTCTTCCGGGCCAGCTCTCTGCTGTGGCCAGGGAGTGCAGTGGAGGATGGCCCAAGTCCTTGGGCCCTGCACCCCATGGGAGACCAGGAGAAGCACCTGGCTCCTGGCTTCGGATCAGCGTAGTGCGCCGGCCGCAGCATGCTGGCCGCGGCGGCCATTGGAGGGTGAACCAATGGCAAGGGAGGACCTTTCTCTCTGTCTCTCTCTCTCACTGTCCACTCTGCCTGTCAAAAAAAAAAAAAAGTATTACCCTTAAAAAGTAAGGGTGAGGCTGTGTCTTAACAGGTTGAAAGACGGCGAGTTTGCCTTGTAGAAACAGGAGCGAGGCTAGGGGTAGAGAAAGGAAATTTAGAGCAGAGGAGCAAAGTCAAAGAGGTTGTGAATACAAGAAAAGTAGAGGCCGTGGAGATTATGGCCTTATAAATGTTCATGAAATGTTCATGAAATATTAGTGGCTGCTGGGCAGGGTTGTAGCATCCCATCTCAGAGTGCCGGGATTTCAGTCCCACCTCCACTTCCTGTGGCAGCTGATGAGCTGATGATGGCCCAAGTATTTGGGATCCTGCCATGCATGTGGTAGACTTGGATGGAAGCTCTCGACTTCAGCCTGGCTAGTTGCAGGCTTTTGGGGAGCAAACCAATGGGAACTTCTCTCTCTCTCTCTCTCTCTCTCTCCCCTCTCCTCTCCTCCTTTCCTCTCCTCTCTTCTCCTCTCCTCTCTGCCTTTCAAATAAATAAATAAATCTTGAAAAAATGAATAATTGTGACTGTTGGGAGTAACTAACTCTTGTGCTAGACTATGTCACTCCTCTGGGATCTCAGAGTTACCTTCCCATTATAGCAGTGAGGCAAAATGTGATCCTTCTCAGAAGAAGACAACTATTCAACCATTCTGAGTAGAAAGGGGTAGCTTAGAATATTTTCCACATTGGAAGGTAACAACCTAAAATTTTTTCGTAGTCTGGCAATAAATATGCACTAATACACTAATATTATCTACTTCCCCCCACTCCCAACCCATGCATGTTCCTTGTAACTACCTGGCCCAAACCTTGGCTTACCTCCACTCTCAGAATGAACTGAGCTAATTAAAAGCATAATGAAAGACACAAAGGCACCAAGACAGCTGAGCAAACATTAACAAATGTGTAGATTAAATAAAGTATTTACATTATGTGTAAGCAGTGGTGCAGATGAAACCTGAGTGGCGCTAGGAAGAGTGAGTCAGAGGACGTTCAAATAGAGTGGGATCAAGGGAAAGCTCTCTACCAGTTAGCTAGAAGTGTCTTTTGGAATGAGAGAATGAAAGGAACCCAGTTAGCAGGAAAGAGCAGCTAAAGTATGCAGCCCAAAGGAGCTTGAAACTCTGGCTGCAGACTTGATTTTTTTTTTTATTCTTTAAAAGTTATTTTTTATTTATTTAAGCAGAGTTACAGAGAGGCAGAGAGAGAGAGAGATATCTTCTATCAGCTGGTTCACTCCCCAAATGACCTCAATGGCCGGAGCTGGGCCAATCTGAAGCCAGGAGCCAGGAGCTTCTTCCAAGTCTCCCATGTGGGTGCAGGGGCCCAAGGTCTTGGACCATCTTCCACTGCTTTCGCAGGCCATAGCAGAGAGCTGGATGGGAAGTGGAGCAGCCAGGACTCAAACCGGCGCCCATATGGGATGCCGGCACTGCAGGCAGCAGCTTTATCCGCTACACCACAGCACCAGCCCCAGACTTGATTTCCAAGTTGCAAAGTTATTGGCATATTTCATGCCTAATGAGCTATATAAGAATCATCAAGAAGGGGCCAGCATCGTTGTGCAGTGGGTTAAGCCACCACCCATCCCATATGGCCTCCAGTTGGAGTC